ATTTAGATTATGAGTCTGAGGAACCACTTTGGTTATTTACTGATGCCAGTGGAAACGGATTGGGGGCAGCCTTGTTTCAAGGGCTACAGTGGGATACGGCATCACCAATCGCGTATGAGAGCCGTACTATGAACCCTGCGGAGAAAAATTATCCTGTTCACGAACAAGAACTTTTGGCTGTGATCAATGCGCTAAATAAATGGCGGTTGTTATTACTGGGGATGAGAATTAACGTAATGTCTGATCATCACTCTCTGACCACGCTTTTAACGCAACGTAATCTTAGTAGGCGGCAAGCAAGATGGTTAGAAACACTTTCACAATTTGATCTTGATTTTAAATATCTCAAAGGACAGGATAACTCAGTTGCTGATGCACTTTCGCGAAGGGAGGACATAGCATTGTGTGAAGTTAAATCAGCTCTCAGAGATGAAGAAATTCAACTGATTAATGAAGGGTATCGGAGAGACAAGTTCTGTATCAAATTGCAAAAGGTTCTACCTCTACGAGAAGATTGTGTCGTGAAAGACAATCTTATGTACCTAGATGGACGGTTGGTAATTCCCCAGCACGGCACTCTTCGTCATGATTTCGTCGAACAAGCGCACAAGGCACTGGGGCATCTAGGTGTTCTGAAGACAACTGCACGGTTACGGACCACTTTCTTTTGGCCTGGATTAGCGAAGGACGTGGAGACCCAGTTACGGTGTTGTGACTCCTGCCAGAGAATCAAAGCTCGAACAACAAGTACCACCGGCAAGTTGCAGAGCCCAGAGATCCCAAGCAGCCCTATGGAATCAATTGCTATTGACTTTATTGGGCCATTTCCCAAAGTTTCCGGGTATGACATGATTTTGTCGTGTACATGCCGGCTAACTGGTTTTGTTAGATTGATCCCAGCTTCGCAAACGGACACAGCGGATAAGTCAGCGGCTCGATTGTACACGGCCTGGTCTTCTATCTTTGGATTGCCGGCGTCGATTATTGGCGACCGAGACAAAGCCTGGACTTCTCGATTCTGGAAGCGTCTGCACGAGCTTCTGGGTGTAAAAATCAACTTATCGACATCGTACCACCCACAAGCTGATGGGCGCAGTGAAAGAACAAACAAAACTGTAGGTCAAATTCTGCGACACTTTGCGGCCGAAAAGCATGGCAAATGGTTCCAATCCCTTCCTGCAGCCGAATTTGCAATCAATTCTGCCGTCAATGTTTCCACGGGGGTATCACCATTTCAATTCGTCTATGGTCGGATTCCGCGGTTATTTCCAATCCCGGACCCTCGAGAAGAAGATACTGACGATGTCAAGTATTGGATTGAAAGGCGTCAGGCCGAATGGGCGGCATGGAGGGATCGACTATGGAGTAACAAAGTCGAACAGGCCTATCAGTACAACCTTCGCCGTCGAGAGGCCCAACCCTTCATCGTAGGGGACCAAGTGTTGATCGACAGTACGGATAGGCAACAAGTGGTTGGTGGAAAATTCAGACCTACAGGTAAACTTAGAGCACGTTATGACGGACCATACGAAGTTTTAGAAGTCTTGAACTCCGGCCGTGATTACCGCCTTCAATTAGGACCTGGCGACCAATCACATCCGACTTTCCACATTTCAAAGTTAAAGCTGTACCACGCCGACGTCACGGATAGAGCAGACATTGCGACCATGGATTTGGTCTCGTCACATCCGAAAACAACCCCTGGAATGACTCGAAAGGAGCCCATGGGGCACGCTAGGCACAGTGACGAGGGGGTGTGCAGTGATTCTATTGCATTAACACCCCCGCAATGTGAGTCTTTTATTTCCTTTACTCCGTATTGTCAAGAGAATATTGGCAAGCAAGGTTTTCTCCAAAATAACAGATTATATAGAAACAATGAGACTGGGGTAACAGAGGAGGCGAGCTTAAAAACAACCATTGCGGCCACTGGGTTGGTCTTGTCTTTGCCGAAAACATCCCTTCTAGGTCCTGGAATTGGAGCCATTGGGGCACGCTAGGACAAGTGACAAGGGGGTGTGTATCAAGTTGATGCGCTAACACCCCCGCAATGTGAGTGCGATAATTTTTTTTCTATTTTCCAAATTATGTGAAATGGCTGGCAAGCAGGATTCTCTCCTACAAAACAGGTCAAAGGATCACAGACAAAAGTATAACGAATGCAAGATTTATTACGTTCAAGACAGAAAGCACAAGGTTTCAAGAATTCATGATTAATTCAATTTAATTTAATTTAAATTTACATCAAGACACGACTTTATTTTCTCATTTTCCTTTTCTCCGAAAACAAATTTCATATATTTATTTCAATTCAAGTGGCGGGACGGATTCCTTTTTTTTTTTACAAAAATCAATTTCTCATTTATTCTATTTCTTTTACGATTTTTTCTCTAGTTCTCTTTTATTTGGGGCGAGTTATGCCATTTTTTTTACCAATTTTCTTCTTTTTTTGCTATTTCAAATTTTATTCATATACTAGTGGGTTAAATCATTAAGGTGACATTTTTTTTAGGAAGGGAGGGTGTAAGGAGTACACGTGTAGACAGTAGCTATGGGTTTAGATAGTTAGAACTTACCTTTCTCTCTCACGCCCGGCTTCGGATGGTTCCTTACTCCTCAGAGAGCCTCGTTTTGGACCATCTGGAGCTAGGTGAGTTTCTCTTTATTATGTACCCCATTTGGGTTCTTTTGTGTTTCTTGGATTGTTGTGATCGCTTACTCCTCAGAGAGCCTCGTTTTGGACCATCTGGAGCTAGTTCGTAATATTAAACCGAAGTTCCAAGTCCATCTGCGCTCTTGTGAGAAGTCGTGCCGGACAAAGTTTCCGGACCCTTTAGTGAAGGTTTCCTGAACCTTACAGGTTTGCCGTGCAATAATTGTGGAAGGGGTGCGGCAGAGAGCTGTGCTGTGTTTGTGTGTTGCACAACTATTAACTAAGCCTGCTGCACATGTGTAGTGTGTGTTTTATGGCTTAAGTGTGGGTAGTGGATCATTTTATTACAAACTACATTCTTAATCATTTTCCCCTCCCCACTTGGGGAGATTGAATGATGTTTACAGTGTTATAATGTTAGAAAAATGGAGAACTTGTGGTGCACTTAATATTGCATCTCATCCTCATGTAAATCTGTCAGAACTAGTGGTGAATTAAAAGTAATTGGGAGGAGAAGATCTCCAGTTCATTCATTGATGTTGCCTCCAAAGCTTGACTGAGTGAAGATATTGGATGTATCAGAGTACATGGCCAATCATGAGGTGAGGTGGTGAGGTGGTGAGGTGGTAGTGGATGATGGCTAGTGCTGATATCAATTGATTGATTTATATGGATTGAAGATTTGGCATCAGGCTATTTAATCTCTCTACTGAGATATCAAACACAAGTTTCCAGTGAACAATGACCCCTTTGTGCAAACTGTTTCCTGTACAGTCCCCTCCAAGTGGTTTACGTAATCATTCAAGTTCTGCAGCGGCGGGGCCGGGGCCTGTCGCGAACCCGATGATTACAAATCCTAGGCGTGGGGATGTGTACATGGGCCGGCCACATGTCCCAAGATTGTGCTATTCCACATAGGAGCCCGTAGCCACCAATCAACTTTTGCACATTCCAGAACATATGATGGTGTACAAAATCAAAATGAAAGTTACACACTGTCAAGACCAATCTTGCGTCAACAATCTTAGTATTTTCATTTGAACACTTTCTCTCATTTGTTTTCTGTCATCACAGCTTGTCATATAACCTCATTGCACCAAACATTATATACTTGCACATCTTCAGAATGCTATTGAAGGAACTTATCAAATGGGTCTCTGTGAAATTTGTGGATCATCATTTTGGGTGCTTTGTTCTCCTCTTTGTGCAAGGATGTAATGCCCTCCCCTCCTGGGTCAGAGGTCTGTGTCTTCTGTGTCTGACCTTTATGAACATCTACCCCACACCACATCGGATGATATATCAAACACACATGTTTTCACCTCACACTGAATTCAATCATCTATCTATAAAAGACACAGATTTTGTGTCTTTCTCATATGAATGATAAACCCAAAGCTGAAATTGGTGTGTGCCACTTCTGTAAAAGGAGGATATCACCAATTACTCAATATCTTGCCTTCTCTGTTGGGATTGGTTGATTGAATGCTTTTGGCCCAATGAGATATGATGTGTCAACTGCATGAGGGACTTTACAAATCAAAATCTGCCCTGCCACCACACAGGAAATGGGTTGCACTAGTCTTCTGATGCTCCATTTCTCATGACTTTTTTTGAAAACCCAGTGACTGTTAAAAAAACCCAGCAGATTTTCAAAAAAGTCAGTGACTTTCCAAAAAACTCAAGCTGTTAAAGGCCTCTGCATTGTGATTCTGAGTTGATAAGTGTGATGAGTTTAACCAAGTAGACAAGACAAAGAGATTTCAGGCTGACTGAGAGAATCGCACCATCAAAGTGAAATATTGGACATTTCACCACACAAGAGTCACTTCCACCAACAACTCCCCACCAATGATTGAGCATACCAGGACTATCATTTTATTGCTGGAATATACTGGGAGTGGGACTGTTGTAGCTGAGCCTGAAGGGCCTCTTACTTCTTGTTCTTGGTAGCTTTGCAATTTGAACCAACCTGAATCATTGAGAAAGCAGTAGATCAAAATGTGGGCTATGAACTCATTAGGTCCAAGACACTATGTGTTATCACCATGAAGTTTGATCACCAGGGCCTTCATTCCGCGGCCAATCTCCCGCTTGATCAGCCCAGTCTGGCCCCGAAGCCTCCGGACCAAGCTTTACTCCAATTGAGGATGATCAGCAGAAACCCAGCAAGTTGCAACCCGTTACCCTCTTCACTGCACTTCAAATGACCTCATTCCTTCATTCGCGATTTAGAATCCCATTGAGATCAAATTTAGTTTTTAACAGGCTCATTGCTACTTTCTCAATCATCAACTCTGCATCATCATCATCCCTTTCGTCGGAATCTGCCCCCAATTGTCCCTCGATGTCATCAGGCCAGACAGAGGTCTGTGTAATGTTTCTCGCTAGCTTTTTTTTTGATCCCACGCATCTGCTGATCGAGGCCACCGCGATCGAGGCACACGCTCATCACTATCGCTACTACCTCAGACTGCTATCTTCGCCTCGGGTTGTTTCTGGGGTACGGAACATATCTTCCGACAGCACTATGATGGAAAGGGTTTGATAGATGCGAAAGTGGGTTACACTGGTGGCCAGACACAGCAACCATCTTATACTCAGGTCTGTAAAGGTATGCATCTGATATTTTATTCCTTGTAGGAATATCCTCCAAGTCTGAACTATGTCTTCTCATTGGTAGGCTCCACCGGGCACGCTGAAGGTGTCAAATTAGAGTTCGATCCACAAAAACTCACATATGCAACCTTGGTTGAATTTGTTAGTCAACTTGAGATCTTTTCCCCCGTTTCCTTTTGGCGATGACTGAAAACGGTGATCCCTTTTCCGTTCATACCGCCATCAGTTTTACCGCACCCACGATGCTTCTCATCTCAATCATCAAGGACCCGATCGTGGCACGCAGTATCGGTCCGCCATCTTTTATCTCGATGAAACGCAAAAGAAAGTAGCAGAACAAGTCACTGCAGATATCCAATCTAAACATTATACTCCGAAGGGTAAGACGATAGTGACCAAGATCGAAAAGTTTGAAAAATGGTGGAATGCGGAAGATTATCACCAGATGTGTAAGTTGATATCGGGTTCCTGATGGATGACGTTTGTTTACTACGCGTATGATGCATTTCTGACTTTTGGAACTCCGATGACTTTCATAACCTCTTGTAACCTGTACTCCTGTTGTTATACACAGATCTACATCACAACCCTGGTGGTTACGAGGTAAATGACCACATTTTATCTGTATTCACTATCAAGTTGCTGACTGAGTCTATGGACTTCGACTATTGTTCTTTACATCAGTGCCCAACTCACCGTCTACATTGGTAAAGTATAGCTGTAGGGAAGCTCAACCATTTCTGATACGATCTCATCTTGTTTCATTTTTGAGGCTTGATTCTGTCAATCCTTCAAGTGTACATCATTTGTAAAACTTTTTATAATTAAGAATTTGTTGTGCAAGTTTCCGGAGAGAAAACTAAATCACATTCATAGACGATGTGCTCCAGTGAGGTATCAATCGGTCACCGTCTGTATTGCTAGGTATTGCTACCTAAGTTTTCGCTGGTCTCAGATGCAGATTAGTCAACTTGTCTGTAGACCTTGGAAGGCTGACCAAAGGCGATGCAGAGCAAACCGGCTTGAATACCAGTCTCCACAGACCTTGGATGATGATTTCGAAGCTGTATATTTAGGCTACTTGACGACTCTTTTTCTTTCGGAGCCCCCACCCTTATCCTAATAATTATTGTCATCCTCAGGTATCGCCTGGTAAATTCTAGAACTCCGTCCAAGCAAACCAATAGAGCAGGTTTCACAAACCTTGTCCCTGTCAATTTGCTCAAGTTTTTCAGAAAAAAATGGCAGATAATTTTTATCGTGGTTCTTGAGTGTGTAGAGCCAAAAACAAGACACTGCAACCAGGCAGATTTAAGTTATATGTACCACAATCATTTCCAGCGTCTGTGTACTTTACATCTTCAGTATGACAGCATCGGCCTGTATCCAAATCTGTATCTCCAAACTGAAGCAATGAGTGAAAAAAATATAACTTAGATTTTATATACAATACCTCATCATAAAACAGGCCAATTGTCAAATCTACTCTTTGAACAGCATATCAAATTTAAACTGCCATATTAGATGGATTGGTTTGAGAATTACTGCAAGATTTATAGGAGAATCACCAGATCAATGATGCACAATGGAAGATTGTATAGATCTTTGAGTAACTCACAAATCCCATGTAAGCGTCCCATTCAAGGTTTCGCTTGCAATCTCTTCTGCAGATGGATTGAGTGCCATGAAAGCCTACAGTAGATCGATCACAATCTCAGCTTTATTCTGAGCAACCTTGGAGTATCACTGACCTTTTTCGTGAGCCAGACTTGAGAGCACCCAGCACTGGGTGTAGTAGCTTCTAACTGGCATCCATCGAGCAACTTTCCAACGATGGGTTGTGTGGTGGAGCCAGTTCGCGTGAAGATACTGCGATGATCAAATTTATGATCAGAGACAACAGATTTCATTTAGACTGGAAAGTGAATCAAATCACAGCCAGAATCTCAACTCACATTTCCTTTCCACAGTTTTCCACAGCAGAGCTGTGGGCGTTCCAAAACCATCAATGAAGGTTTCTTGACAGAAGTTCTTCAATTTTTGAAAAAATAGCTCACGCGCTGATCCATCCGCTCTGTTTACGATCCTTTCCAGTCTGATCTACACCAGACCATAGACAGAGTCCAATTTCTGTCTCACTATCATATGGCTTGCAGATCTTTGGATTCGAAGAACGACTTCCATCAGCGACCTATTCCGGTGTTCTTACTCAAGGTGCAAGGTGAAATTTGAAAAGAATAGATGACTGACTCCGTCCCGCGAGGAAGAGGCGTCTGAAACACCTCCTGTCGGGGGCTTCGAAATCGGTGCGTCGCTGGGCGGGATACCGGAGCCAGTGGTGGCGTTGCTTGTCAGATTGGTCTGAGGGGGTGTAGGCAAGGAATCCACTCCAGCTACAGGCTTTGATCCCGACACCGAAGTGAGAGGTACGTTGGAATTGTTCAGTGAGGTCTTTGAATCTAGCGATGATGAAGCCGAAAGTCCGTCGCCTTGACTGAGGGAGGCATTCATGCCATTTGTCTTGGCATTGCTAGACAGGTTGGCTAGAGGGGGTGTAGATGAGGAATCTGCTCTTGCTACAGAATGCGAGCCTATCCCCGAGCTGAGAGGTAGGTTGAAATCGTTGGGTGATTTATCACTGGACATCTCAATGTTTGAATCAAGTGATGACCCATCCGAAGAGTTTGCAACTACAGTAAAATCTCCGAGATTTGATTTGTTCGGCGAGGCTTCAAGCTCAACTGTACCAAGTGAAATTTTACGCTAGTTCCAGAGAAAAAGTTGATTTAAAGTCAACCTCACAAAACCCGCGAATCAATTTTACAGAAGATTCAGTCTATCTCCGTGCAACAACTCACTCTTGTTAAAAAGCTCTCTTTGACCTCATTGGATTCATACGATTTGACAGGGGATTGTGATTTTGCCGTTACGTTGCTTGAGGTTGAGGTTGAAAATTCAATTGCAGATTTCGGTTTGAGACTTGTTAGAGGAGTGGTACTGGGAGATACCATACTCAGTGTGAACTGAATGACAGATTTCTCATGTAAGCCCTTGATCGCCAATCTAATCGACAGAGGCAATCCAACCTACTTGTTTTACCGGCCCTGTGGTTACTTTAGGGGGACAGTTATTGCGTCCATTTGAACTAGCGCAACCTTGCTTGGTATTGAAATAAGCAAAGCACCCAGTAGATCCTGTTGTGTTGGTGGTGTTAGCGGGTTCCGTTAGACCAGCCTTTGTCGGTGTAGAGCTGGTGAGAAGAACGTAGTGCGACGTGGGATCGACATCGACGGCGCTGACGATGGCGACGTTGATTAGGATCATGCCAAAAAACAAGTAAGGAAGTTTGAAGCCGGAAGTTGCCATGATATCTATGAATGATTGTTGGATGATTCCCAAGAAAAAGTCGCTCACAGTCTGAGGAGTTCTAAGTGAGGCAATTGAAAGTAGACTATGACCTGATAGCTATAACGTGAAGGAGATTTTGGGGCAGTGTGCTCTGGGATTTCCGTCTTCAATTCATGATGTTTGTCAACCTTGGTCTTTTATTGCACTCAAGGGTCACACCATTCAGATCGAAAACCTCGACAATCAGGAGTGGCTCACAATATTATTTGTGACCTTGACATCGTTGTGCAAAATCCCCGGGTGAGTCTGAGGATGGCTCAAGGTTTTAATTGTACCCATTTGTCGAGAGCAGACTCGGGTTTATTGTACATACGTTATGGTGATATTTGTTGCGCCGTAACAGTATGGTGTGCGGGAAGTCGACGGCTACTGATCATCTCAGTATCGGATGAAACCGAGTCCAACGAAGTAAACGATGGGACATGACATCATAGGACATCAGGAAAGCCACGGGAGGTCCAACATCTTCGTGTGCCCAGTGTATACGCTGATCGATCCCGCAACGGTGAGCTTTATACATATGCTTGGATCGACTCTTGGTATGTACTTACGTAGAAACCGATCGTGTAAGTGGGGCAGCTGGCATACGTCATCGTGTTGTGAATCTGTTTTGGTCGCAAAAGAAGCTGATTCATCATCGTTTAGCCATTCGTCCCGCCAGTGCCGATTGCAACAAGAGCTCTCGTACTCCACTGGTCAAACTGGTGTTGCTCTTATACATCTTTCAAAAGACCACTTTTTTGAGCGTCAAATTCTTTAAAATGAAGTAAAGAGCATCAAGCTGTTTCCGGCACTCGGAGTATTTGACATTCACCTGCTTTGAATCTGCTGTTTGCACATATTGTTCGTGGATAGGAAAGCATTGAAGTCACATGGCTCGATGAAACGTGAAGCAAGTTTGCCTAAGACTTTGAATGTGTCTTGATTTTGGAACAGTGTCAAACCATCATCAGATTGCATTTCATGTTCTTGATCAATTTGAAACAATCGAGAGCTTGTTTCTCAACCTGCACATGATGGTACTTTGAGACTGAATGGAAGGAAAAATCCTACCGCAGGACTGATATTTTAATTCAATCACAAAGATACAAACAACACATGTACGATAAGGAAGAAGATTGACAAAGTGTGAGACATGATGAAGAAAGTCTACGTTTTTACAAATACTATGGATCGCTATCTATTTATATGTACAATGCCATTTGATGTAAAATGGAAAGAAAAAAGGTGTGTATTTAGTTTTTGGATGCCCTGCGATTGATGACATGAGTTGTGATGCAGGCTGCAGTGACGATGAGGACGCGTCAGTAAATGTTGATGAACACTGAAAGAACTTCAGGACGCACTCAGTATAGCCAATTCTTCTTCGACACCATGGGTGACACTCTCGTCTAAGAAATCAATGCTTCCATTCAAATTGTGCAGCTTGTCGAGCTGTTTGAAACAATGTGATCATAACGGGTGATGAGTGGGTGTCATGTGCATCATGATGGTAGAAAAGGGTATGGAAAAATCCATTGCAAGATACTCACTCCTGATGGGATGACTTGAGGTATGTTGAGACAAGCCAACGTGTCGCGCGTCGGTGAATTGTTTTTGGTCAAGTGAAGGCTATAAAAGAAAGCAAGGTTGTTCGTGAGTGGTATTATTTTCGTTGGGGCGGATTCTGATTGGGCCCTCACCATCCTGATGTGTCCTCTCTCCAAGCCTTAGAATCGTCCTCTCCATTGGTGTAAATGCTGTTTATGATTCATGAGGATGAGTAATCGTGTAGGTTCAAAGGTTGATGGATTAAGAGATTTTGACTTACTGCATACCGTGTCTATGGCGTAACCGGTATTTTCCTTTTTGACTCGCCTTCTTTTCGCGCCAGTCGTCCAACTTAGCTTCCCTTTTATGGATCAATCCTTTGATACAAGCTTCCATGACAGGTTCCCCAAACAAGGCCGTCTCTTTTGCTGGTCGATAAAGATATATTGAATCGCTATGGATTCTCACTGCAAACCGAGCTTCATTGGCTGTTGGAGAAGGATCAAGGAGTATAGCGGAATTGGCATCATGTCTACGAATTTCATAAGATTGTAAAGGATAGCCTGGCGGCGATGAAGGCGTGGTACTGCGAGAGGCTGATCGATCTTGGGAAGCCGATGGGGAGGGTGATGAAACCATTCTAGGGGAATACTTTGGTGGTGGTGAACTGATCAAACGACTAAAGGTTTGTAGTAATTTGGTGATATTGTGACTTAGTTTACTTTGCGATTTCGCGCTGAGGACCATACTGCGAGAGGCAAGCAAGCGAAGGATATATATATGATCTCGAAGATTAGGAATAGAGACTGTAATGACGTCAATGATGTCAATGTGAGTAAACCGGTGATCAAACAAGACGCGAATAAAACTGAACCAGTTCAAGTCTTCAGATGATACGATGGAGTGAGCGCAAGGAGAGGAAGAGATCAAGCGCAATATGTGGTACACTTCAAAGTGATCAAAAGAAATTCTTGACCCAATTGGACTCGTCTGAAATTCTTAACCGACCGAACAGTGGGATGACTGACGAGAACAGTTATACTAGAAGGGTGAAAAGATGTCAACTGGTTGAAGAAACTAAAAGAACTGACTAATGATATAGTTTTGTTAAACTTATCAATGAAATACATAATTAGAAGAGTTGTCTTTAAGTTCCTGATGAGGCAAAGAGTGAAATCGGCTATCCAGATCAGCTCAGCAGTTGATCTGGAGAATTACCCGAGTTCAAGCCAGTAAGAGAATTTCAGTTCTTCCATTGCACTCTTACTCCAGACCTTGCTTATGATCAATAAGCCTCTCAGACCATTTAATCTTCCATATCGCCATCGTATCTCTCTTTCATCGGCTTGCAGCTTACGATTCTGAGCAGATGCAAATAACAAGTGAAATAGCACACTGAAATCGATCATCAAATTTTATATCACATGCCTCTTCAAACCCAAACGGTTGAAGGATGTTAGACTGCGTTAACTTAACCAGCTTTATATAATCATATCCTTTTCACATTTCTTCGTCCTTCTTTCATGGCTTCCCTTTCAGCCCTCCGAAGCTTCATTAGTCTCACATAAGCACACCGAATCTCACCTCCTATCTTCATGCACAACGACAAGACATCTGCACAATCTTCTCTGCCAGCTACTAAAGCTTTGTATCATTTGGTTGTAGCTTCATACTTTGGTATTTCTTCAAAGTCAAAGGTTTTATCTTTCAAGTCTCTTGAAATTCGTGTTCAGGAGTCCAGGATCGGAATCAGGGCTTGGGGAGATATTTTTGAGTTGGAAAATGTGAATGTCATGTAAGCTGCTGAGAGTGCTCTTAGCAGCTCCACATGAACCGAATCATAAGTCATATGCACCCGATCTGAGTATGTTCGTAGTCTTTTCTTAGCCAGCGTTGTATGCAATTAAAGCCAAGTAGCACTGCAAAAAAATTAAAACTTGATGACCACCCTCATATCAGAAAGACTAATCATTGATGCTGTAGACTTGGAATCAGTTCCATCTTCATCAACACCCATCTGCTTGGGGGAATTGTGCGGTACCCTCATGAAGAACACTTGATAAGATTTTCAGTCTTACGACTGATCAATCTATGTATTGAGAAAAGTATCTACAAGTGACCTTCGAGTGTGGAGAAAAATCACACTGCATATTCCGACTATACCAAGAGTGAAATTAAAGTTGAGCGAAATCTTTAAATGAAGCTCATGAAGCAGAAGAAGCCCTAAAAAATCTTTATATCATGTCATGGGAGATTCTTTTCTCAACACAAGGAGTCGAAGAACTGATGAGGTCGCGCGCACACAGTTCAGCTGAAGGATCACTTTAGGAACTTGAATCTAGCCGGATGTATCGCGTTCTACTGACCTTCATCCAGCTGCTCTTTGGCCTTACTCATTCATAGCTTTACTCACTGCAATCCTGAAAGGACATTGGGAAATCATTGTCTATTCAAATGCACGCACACATTGAATAGCCAATGACTAAAGGCTACACAAGATATACTACGCATCCTGTTATAAGCACCATGTGAAAACTCAATTTAGACACTTGGGACACTTCATGCCAAATAACAAGCCATCAAGCTCTTTCAACATGGTACCAATTGTTTAGTGCAATCGAAATTTAAAAAGCACAGTTCATAGTGAACGCGTGTTTATTTTTGGCACTAGTCTAGTAAAAATCGTCAGGCTGCTAGAGTTCTATAAAGTGTAAGTTAATCTAAGCAAGGTATCCTTCGATTCCCTCTCCTAATTCTTCTTCAATCAATTTCACTACCCTCTTTGCTGCCACATCAATACCACCTTCTCCATCTTCCATAGCTTCCACCAAGTATCCACCGACCATCTCGGGCACAAACCCGATCAAAGAACTTCCAATCTCAACCCAAATCTCTTCTAATGTACTCAACCCAGCCAATTTCACTTTCACTTCTTCAGTCGACCTAAGTTCTTCGAGGATACCACTACTGAAGACTTTCAGGAGGGTATCATGGTCAACTACCTTTTGTGAAAGCTTGCATATCAATCGCTTGAGCTGTGGTACGAATAACTCGTTGTCAATCTTTCCAGCTAATCGCAGTTGTTTAATCATGGGCCTTGTGACCTTTGACAATCGAGTCATAGTCCAAAAGCCTACGGAAACATTGCAAGCCAAGAATGAAATGAGTTTACCAATTTACCATTGAGTCTCGTAGTCGAAATATGGCTTACCGTCTTGATCATGTTGTAATGCATTCTCTAGAGTGCGAGCTAATTGAAACCAAAGCTCTTCACAAATGAATTTCTTTTCAGCAAATCCGTTCAAAAGTGTGATGGTGTGATCCAAGAGGTGACTATAGTAAGGAACTCCCAATGCCTATGATAGAAAACGTGACAAGCGGGGTGAGCAAACCAAGGATCTGGAGTTTGAGGAATGAAGTAGCACTACTGACTTGTAATCGATCGAGAAAAGTTGCAAATACTCGATACATTGGGATACTTTTTGTGATTCCGGCCGATTGTATTCCGGAATCAGTGTTATCATCCGGATCATTCATAGCTGCCCAGTCAATCAGTCGCATTAAGAGAGGCTTCAAGGTCGCATCGTTGAGCTTCAAGACTAGCGTCATGAATACAGAAGACGCAGTGGTCTCGATCTCTGATAAATCCGCATCCGAAAAAAGCTTGCGGTGCGTTCTACGTAAATCAAAGACCATCAACAAAAAATTGAAAATGTTCTTGCTCTCCTTGATCGCACTTGGAACTTTGGTATGTTTGATCGCACGCAAAAGAAGGTCAAGCAACACCAGCACAGTCTGCAGGTGTCAAACAGGCAAAGCCGAAGGGTGAGTCTACATTTGTCGTCGTATTGAGAAATAAGCTTACCTCGCAGCACAGATCCATCGAAGGCCACATCTTGATCAAGGTCTTGTCCAGCTCCTCTAGAGGTACAGATTTCGTCAAGGTCCTCAATAGAGAGGCTCGGGAGGATGTGACTGTTGTGAGCGTAGATCTTGATAACGCTTGATTGATTTCGAGATCAACTAGGACGTTCACGACTGTAACTAAATAGGGTAAGATGAAGGAAGACGAGTTTTGAAGTGTGATGTCCATAAGTGCAAATGCCTTGTGAGCGACGTCATAGCGGATGTTTTCATGCTGAGTGGTCAAGACGTCTTTTGTGAGACTGGCGCAAGTGGTAATGGTCATTTGTACGTGTGGCAGCAGTCTTGGCCCCAGTTTTTTCCTGGAACAAATGAGGGTAACGGATGTCCAAGTCAGTCGTTTCAAGAGGAGGGAAAGTGGTGAGAGAGAGACTTACACAAGGTGAGAAAGAACGGTGAGGATTGTGCCAGCTAGACTAGTATGTGGGCATGATTTGACCATCGAGACTAGAGGGGAATAGAGGTGACTGAGACACGATTGCTCTGAGTTAGTAGAGTTGAGCGCGATATCTCCCAATATCTCCACGGCGTAAGAAAGCTGAAGATGGGGCTCAGAGTCGGACGGGCCAGTGATGCCGATGCTGATCCGCTTTCCACATGTAGCGATAGCCGATTTCACACATTCTTCAACTTCTGATCTGACAGAAGGCTTGATTAGAGGCAAACGTGTTCGAAGAAGGTCCAGCGCACACGAAACCAGCTGATCGAAAGAATATACGAGGACTGCGTGAGTTCAGGCAGAAGTGGCAATGCAACAGATACAGAAATGACATACTCTGTCATTGTCATTTTGCAACTTGGGCAAGAGAACTCGTGCAAAGAATGGCAAGGCAACAAGTTTAGCAACCTTACGTGCTATAGCGCGACCCTCCTGAGCCTGTTCATCACTAGTCAATTTAGAGTACGGTTGACTAATTTCCAGAAGCTGGATCATGAAAAAAGCCAAAACTTGATCGGCGTCTATGTTGTGTGTAGATCGAGCGGAGTTCAATTTGGATTCGATCGATTTTGAACTCAAAGCTTCATCAATGAAGCGCATCAACATCTTCGCACGACTGATGTTGACCTCGATATGAGCCTCGGATGGAACGTCTTCGACCATCGCATCAGGATCACTGAAATGCTTCGGAAGAGTCAGCCATGGTTCGTGTGAGGGAAAGATAGCCTAATTAAAGGATACTGACGTATGACATGGTAGGATGCTGACTTCGCCAGTGCTGCTTTGATTAAGCAAAGTTTCAATCTCAGCCCCGAAGTGTGCAAGCGCCTACGAATCGGAGATAAGCAAATTTGACACATATGATTTGGCAAGAAAGAGAAGTGAAGAGCTTACCGCCACGCATATCTCTCCTGGAAACGATTCCCATACCGATAAGGCCAGATCAGAAGCAGAGGAGCCTCCCACTTCATCCCTGCCAGCGTCGACCAAGAGCATCATCACTGCTCCAAGAAAGTGGTATGGCCCGAGGACTTCTATCAAGCGGACAAACAAGCGAGTTCTTCGATGCTTGGGAATATGGTTTCGTGCCCCGACGAACATCATGAGAAGATCGCGCAAATCTATGTCGACCGTTTGACTGGTTAGTTTTCATTTTTCTACAATTATGCAAAGATGAAGATGAACTAACGAATGATCAATTGGACTCGCGTGGTACCCTTGGAGCGAACGTTTTGGATGATTGGCGGGATCAATGCTTGAATGGCCTAGGGTACAACAAGATGTCAGCGAAACGGCGCCTAGATAATGTCTCACGCATGCGATCTTACCTTATCTACGACACGCGCGCTGAAGGCATCGTCTCTTTGTATCACATGAGTTCCCACAAAGGTGAAGATCGGCATCATACTCTGGCAGGTTTGGTCAGGACACAGGCGCGCTAACTCGGCCATCAACAAGATAGTCTGTTGAGATACATGAGGATCCAGTGAGACTACAGAACCCGACGTTAGATCAGGTGAGTATGTGATGCGCCTCCCACGAGTGAAAAGAAGTTTACTGACTGCGCATATAGTCCACAATCGGGGTCAGCTGGATCTCATGAGGTTTAAATTGGTCCGGCTGAAATTCAACAGCGCACAGGTCAGCAACTTCGAAATTCGTGACGAGTCCTGTATGATACACTCACATCTAGCTTAGCAATGACAGAAGCCATCCCTGCTATGACCAGTTGTGCAGGAAAACCAATATCACCATTTTTGCTGCCATGAATCACTAACAGTACACGTAGCGTTTCAAGTAGGACGGCAAACAGCTCGAAGCTTTGAGTAAGCTTGTCCATTGAGACCATCTCTAATAAGATTGATAGGGTCGATATATCTGATGTTGCAGTGATCGTAAGGGTGGCTCTAAAGAGGTTTCTCGACATCGATATCAGCTGTTTTTCTGAGGAGTTTGATGAAATACTCCTGAACGTACCCAGATGCAGTCTTGGCTTTCTTGTGGCTGACGGGTCGCTTGGTTGCTATTTGCGCAACGAGCGAAGTCAGCAATCTGATAAATGTGACCGAGTCAATTGGTAGATGGCGGAGACATGCGACGAATAGCGCCCGGTTGTCCTAATAAGCCCGAAAGATGTCATAAGTCATTTTGAAATGAACGAGAGCAATCAATTATGACGTACCCTCTCAGAAGAAGCGAGGATCAGAATCCGGCGAAGAATGTCCTCCTTATGAGCAGGAGACAGATCTAAAAATAGGCTGCTCTCCAGGCGCTCTACCGCAGCTGCAGGGAGGGTACGCGCCATCGCTATGCAAAACGAAATCAACAAAGCGGTTATCAGTCGTGGATTTTCAACAGAGACGAAGGTGTATCATATGGCGTACAAATGTCAGGCGAGCACTCTAATACAGCAACAAAAACTTCGTACGAAGGCAAGTCTTTGCCGGCTCTGAACGATTTGCCGGGTGCGACATAAGTTTGTAGCAGAAGAGAAGCGTACTCTTTCAAAGCGGAAGAGCTGCTTGGATCAGTGGCTAGAGGTTGGACGCCAGTCCCCTTAGACAGTTGCTGGAGAAGGGGGGAAACAAGATGCATTCGGGAAGGGTCTGTCATCTCTGTCAAACATCTCAAAATCTTGATCCGGCCTTCCAAATCTTCCCAGCAGTTGACTACCTTCATGAAGAAGCACAGCACTTTTCGCTTGATGGCATCGTCCATACTCTTCTTTCCTGTGTCCCCACCAGATGGTTTGGCGGTTTTGTCAGACGAGGATTTAGAGGCGCGGGGAGTGGTAAGCTGGCCTAGAAGCTGTCGCAGAACAATAAGGCCATTGACCATGATCTCGTCTTTGTGCTCAAGGATCGCCTTGATGATGTGATTCGAGTCGACGATGGAGAGGTACTGAAGACCCGTGCTGGCACGAGGACCATAGAAGCAGTCGTAAGCATAGATGTCGGTTTCAGTCGCCGTTGACTGCTCGTGGCCATTGACAAGACTTTCGCTGATACTGGTGATCAGTTCGAGAGCCGCAGATCGGACAGATCTGACGGGGTCTGTCAAGGCGATCAAGATACTGGGAATCAGAAGTTGAAAGTCTTTACATGGCCGGCTGCCTGACTCGGTGTTCTGAGGGGATAAGGCTTTGATCTCTGCGGCGGCGTCTTGAAGTGCCATAATGCGAAGAGCTATGGAGTACGACGAGGAAGTCCAAATTCTTGCTAAAAAGATCAAGCTTTCATCGCCGAGCAAGTGTCGCAGTAAAGTTACTATCAGTGTCCGCCCAAGAGAACCTCGTTTAGCGTTTGTACCACCTGAATGACCGACACTGTAGAGCTTGTAATGTAACTTCAAGATATCCGAGGCGAGATTTGGTCCGGTCGTACTTGAGGTCGAATTGGAGGGTTGACCGTTGGTTTCGAACCAACAATATGCTAAATCTTGGGGGCGGTGGATTTGTGACAGAGCTTTTAACAAGGTATCTGCAGAAATACGAGAAAACAACTTCTCCGAACTCGACTTCGAGTAGAAATTTTCCTTGATGGAATCAGTGTTGTTAGCCAAAGGGTCCACTGAAGAATCGATCCATCGAGTAAAGCTATCCCCATCGGAAGTACATAGCTGGTGGTCCACAATGGCATTGACAAGTTGACATAACATTCCTTGTGAAAGACTAGGTATTGTCTGTCTGAGGACCATCAAAGGGACTAGTCTTGCCAGAGAGGATTTGGATTGGTACTTCACTTTGAGCCTTTGTAATAGCTTGAGCAATGTCGAATCGCCCATCTTGATAGCACCGGTAGCAATGATATTCAACATTGCCTCGTTCGCTGCGATACGATCGACAGGATCCTCGGAGGTAGCTGCACCTTGATGAATACCTTCTAAAATGGTGCCCAGCCAGGTTTGGTGACGCTGTGGCAATCCCGATGACCAAATCACCGTAGTAGCTTTTGCGTGACTTTTCGTCCAAAACAGTCGGTCCAGTACAAGGTCTTCAGCAACTTGAGAAGCCATACTGGGGTGGAGGTCCAGAAATGGGCCACTTAAAAAGGACAACCACGACATGCAAGTCGCTCGAGAGAGGTGTGGAGATGTGAATATGCTGCAAGCGATAGACAGTAGCTCTTTTTCAGTCACGACGTTGTTGATCACACGCGGATAGGCAAACAAAACTTCGGTCACGGTCGGATCGGGGTCTCTGAGGGCAAGCTTGATGGCGGGGTTTACAATATCAGACTGGGTCGATTTCTTCGGAGACTCGGAGCTATGTTGTTCCAGGATACGTCGAAGTGCGCTGTGTCTGAGTATAGCGCTCGAGCTGCTAAGTTCAAGTAAATCCCCTTGGTTTGCGGGTGAAATGAGTTCGATGCCGCCTGAAACCAATCTCAGCAAATTTTCGACAGCCTGACGAGTATTAACATCACCGTTGGCGATGAGATGGTGAGCTACTTTTTCCAATGAGTCGGGGTGTCTCTGTGAGATGATAGTGAGCGGTCGCAGGAGACACGGAGCAGGAGTTTCTAGAGCGGCCGAGGTTGAAAGCATGATGCGGATAGTGGTTTCAAGCAAGGGTGTGGATGTAATAAACATCTGTGAAAACTGATACAAGAGCTCAGTCGAATCCAGATCTTTCTTGAGTGCACCTTGCGCCAGGCCCTGGATGAACGCGGACCAGAAAGCCGACATCTCGACCGTTTCGCATAGATGCATGAGTAATTTCGCTGAACCTGGAATCGCCGCCAGAGTGTGACACGAGCTGGTAGATAGATGCGGACTAGAGCCGCTTGAATCACACTGAAACCAGATGATGAGCGTTTTTACTAAAGCTTCGTCATGTTCTGTCCAGCCTGGACTTTTGCTTATATTGCTTTGGTCGGTGGGATATTCTGTGAAATTCTCAATGAGTGACTGTGTGAGATGGGTAAGCATGCTGCTTTCGAGTGCTGAAGAAAGTGCCAACTTTGTCAAAAGAATGTAAGTCGTTATCTTGACGTCCAGTATCGGAGTCTTCAGGCCTTCCAAGATAGGAGGCAGGATTGCCGCGAGGACGGGCTGTGGAAATGGTTCGCGTAAGGCAGATTTTGTAGCCAAAGTCTCGAAGATGCCAAGAAATGTAGCCAAATGGAACCCCAGAAGCGGTTGATGGATTCGGTTTCTGTTCATATGCAGAAAAGAAGGCAGAATCTGAGCAACGTAGCGAAGTGATTCCGGGAAGCCGATGAGGGAATCAATCAAATGCTTCTGAGGCAATTCAGATCGCGATTTTTTGACTGGTTTCAAAAATGACAAATGCGGATGCGGTTCTAGTCGTAGGATGTTCAAGATAGCCATAAATTGAGGCGTGGTATAATACGGCATGAAGATGGACAACAGCGTGGGTACGTCCAGCTCGTGGATCCTAAAGAAAATCGATCACGGATTTTTATTCAGTTTCAATTGTATTGTGAATTGAAAAGGTTGACTCAGAGGGATGTATTCACCTGAACCGTCGCACAAGCCACTCGATAGCATAGGCACTTGGTTTGGTGAGAATGTGAGGTGCTAGCAAGTACAGAAATTTTTCGATGGTTTGCTTTAGTTGAGCAGCAGGCTCAGGTTCAAGTAGGGTTCGATCGGTGCGCTTGGCTGCTTCTCCAAATAGAGGATGCCGAAATTGTTGAAATTCATGATCAGAGTTGATTAATTGTTGAAGTCCATCTAGTCCGATTTGGTGAAGCTGATCCAAAGACAACTTCCCAGCCTGAGTTGGCGAGTAGATATATGAATCACGACGTGCAACAGAATCGAGTTTTGACGCATCAGGGTTTGATTGAGCAAGGTTTGCGAGTTGAGCTCTGAGAGAGGTCATGGTGGTGTTCTTATGATCTTTGATGTTAACTTTCAATGTTGTGAATAAAGGTCATTCATGAGATCAGACGATTCGATGTATCATAATCTCACTCGGCGATGATAAAAGTTGAAATAATCTTTCGTCCAAATTGTGAGTGCGACGGTCACATTTCAACTAGGTTCAACTTGTGGTAAATACACATACATATGTACATACAGATTTTGAAGTCGACACATCTGTATGGGCATGCCTCAATCAGGGGATGCCAGCACGCCTCTCTACGGTGGCTGTGGAGCGCCAATTGAGTCAAAACCCCCAAAAGCGCAAATTCTACATGAAACCTCGGCAGAAAGCCCCGCTGAGCCTGTCCCGATCCTGAGTCCGCTGAGGTCCGCTGGCCTGGGAACAGAGATCCCCTCATTCGACTTAATTTTGTGCGATTATTCAGCTTTCTATTCCGTTTGTTGGCAACTCATCTATACTTTTTGAGTCCTCATTTTTCAAGTATTGCCGAGCAAGCAAAGAAAATGTAACCCAGAAATGACCATTCACAAATTGTGTACTTCCCCCCCAAAACCTATGAAGATCACCTTTCATGAAAGCATCATGGGGGTCTTGTTGAGACAATGATGATTATCCAAACACATAGTAACACACTTTACCATATTATCTGATGATTGGGATACATAATTTGTTCGATATGATGAAGGGTTTATTGATCAATCAACACAACACGGCTTTTCTAGAGCGGTCATTCAAAAAGAATCTCTTCGCATGCTCCACCTAACATATGAAGTTAGGTTGATCTCCTATAGCTGATATGAAGAAAGGGATGATTCACATTGATCAAGTTTGCTGCATAAGAATCGCACTGTCAAAGAGGACACCTGGGGGTGACAACGGGTAAAGTGTTGTCCGAGGCAGCGGATTCTGGGTTGGGATAGGCTCAACGGGGCTTTCTGAGGGTGTTTCATGTACATTTTTTGCTTTTTGGGGTTTTGACTCATTTGGCGCTCCACAGCCACCGTACCTTGTCGTGGTATTCTTATTCCTACCACGGTGTGTGTGTGTGTTCGAGAAATTGTGGGTGCTGGTGCGTAGGCTGGAATGTTCTATTCAAGATGAAATTTACTTGACGGGTCAAGAACTTCAGTCGTTAAAGAAGATCAAGTTGATTTCTATTTCCTGATTGATAAGTTATGAGTTCAAGTTGGTAGATTGGTCTGTGTGTAATTTGGGTGTTTTTCTTTCTTTTGGGAATAGGCCGAGTGTGGCCTGCGTGACTTATATGTATGACCGTGGATAAGATTATCATGTCTTTCTTATATATAGATCTTTATTGTACCTTCCAGTTTCTTTCCTCATCGGAAAGAAACTGTAAGTATTTTTCTCTTCTTCATCAACTTATCTACGTTAAAGAGTCTCATCTATTTTTATCTCTATTCTAGTGCTTTATTCTTTTACTTACATCTTCCGACTCGATACTGTTCTACTTTATCCTGTTGCTTTTACGCACAGGTTTGTCTCAAGTCTTTCTCTTTTTCTTCTTTTTCCTACACTAACCTATTGTGCGTGATTAGGTGTGTTTTCATTTTAGAAGCTCTTTCGAAGCTTATCAGGCTTGTGCCGTAGTACTTATACGACACCTGATTTCCCCAGGTTAGTTGTTAATGATCGGAAAGAAACTTGCTTTATTCTTTTACTTACATCTTCCGACTCGATACTGTTCTACTTTATCCTGTTGCTTTTACGCACAGGTGTGTTTTCATTTTAGAAGCTCTTTCGAAGCTTATCAGGCTTGTGCCGTAGTACTTATACGACACCTGATTTCCCCAGGTGTGTTTTCATTTTAGAAGCTCTTTCGAAGCTTATCAGGCTTGTGCCGTAGTACTTATACGACACCTGATTTCCCCAGGTGATCCCTTTTATGTATACGGCTAAGCCTCAACTTCGAAAGCTTTCAATCTTGAACCTGCGTGTTCTCACTTCACATACCTCTCCCCCGTCAACCTGGCTCATTCTTGTAGTTACGGTAGGGCTGTGACCCGGACCCGACCCCGCCCGGCCGACTCTGCCCGGCAGCTTCTGCAGAGCTCACAGTACCGGCCCCGGGGCATTTAAACCTAACTCCATGAGAGTCACAAATGGCCCTGTGGCGCCCCGGGCACTCGACCCGGCCCGAGAGCCGACACTTTTGAGGCCAAAAATCTCCCACGATGATCACATAATCACAACCTTGTTGATCATCGTTTATACATGCCCTCCGCCCCAATCACCAGATCCACCAGCTTGCTTCGTCGCACAATGGCCATTCCCACCTCTAGTATTGCTCCGTCCGACTCTATCTCTTCCATCTCCACTGCTACGGCTGCTTCAGACGCTACTACTGTAACTTGTAGTTCTTGGGTGTGGACCTACTTTGTCCAGGAGGAGGTCAACGGTGTGATGAAGAATATATGTCATGCCCAAGAGGGTTTGATCAACGCCGTTAATCCCATGGAACAGGATCTCGAGGCTGTCAACGTTTGCAACAAACCGATGGCTATTGACAAGCACACCAGTACCAAATCTATGATTCAACACCTTTGGCGTGCTCATTGTATAGGTCCTCCAATTCAAACCGATCAACCAACTGTTGCAGCCTTCTATATTGATGGTGAACCTGTCAGAGTAAGTTCTATTTAGTTTTACTTTCACTTTCATTAATCTCCATCCACGTTTCTCTTTTTCGTATTTCTCTTTTTCTTATTGTTTTGTTTTTTCTTATTGTTTCTACTTTCTTTCTTTTTCTGTATCGCTTTTTAGGTCAGAGCTCTCAGCAGAGCCAACCTCAAGGATGCTCTCATCCGGATGGTTGTCAACCGAGAGATCCCAGTTTCCTTTGTTGATGCAAAGGAGTTCCGGGAAATCATCAACATGCTCAATCCCCAGGCTTTCACCTTGTTGTCTAAACGTACTGCCATCTCGGATGGTATCTTGGATCAGTTTCGATCAATGAAAGCGCGGATCATCAACACCCTCTCTTCCGTCTCTCACATCTCCATTACTTGCGATGGATGGACCTTGCCCACCAACCTTGCCATCCTTGGAGTGACTGCTCACTGGATCTCCGACAATTTCGAACTCAAGGGGATCACTTTAGCTTTGAAGCCGATTGAAGGACCTCACACCGGATCCAACCTCGCTGCCCATCTCAAAGCCATTCTGGATTCTTTTAATATTACTGATTGCCTTTACTGTATCACTGCGGACAACGCCTCCAACAACACAACTATGGGACAAAGCCTTTTGACAATCATCCCCCACTTTGACTCCTCCCAAAGTCTTCATGGTTGTGTAGCGCACGTCATCAATCTAGTTGCTAAGGCAGGTATGGCAGTATTTGATACCAAGAACACCCTTCCACCAATCAATGCTCTGGATCCCACCATTCCAAATCAGCCTTCAGTCCCCTTATTCATCGAGCCTACATCCAATGCTGAGCTAAGCAGTGTCCTCACTTGAATTCGAGCTTTTCATCGAAAAATCAAACACTCTAGCCAGCTCAAAACTTCCTTGGACAACGCAATTGCAAGCTGTGCAACTTTGGAACGCAAGGTTGGGCTAGTACACGAGGTCTCGACTCGTTGGTCTTCGACACACACATCTCTCGCCCGATTTGTGGAGCTCAGAGTCGTTTTAGAGTACCAGTTTAATTGTACCCCAGCTCTTGAATCCTTCAAACTCGCCCATGAAGAATGGATCTTGATCGAAAACCTGGTTCGATTCTTGGCTCCTCTCGCTACAGTCACCAAAACGATGGAAGGCCACCTTTACCCCACTTTCTCTCTTGTTATGCCGGATTATCAATGGCTTGTTGAACGCCTGGAACGTGTAAGTTTTTTTTTATTCCTTTTTCTCACAACTTCACAACCTTGATTTGTTACTGATTCAATGTTGTTCGATTTTGATTTTTATAGGCCTGGACCGATTCCAACTGCAAGGAACTCAAAGCTGCAATTATGCCGATGATCAAGAAGATCATTCAATACCAGGAGGCTGCTCAACAAAAGGCTGTCTACATTTGTTCAGCCATACTCGACCCTTGTCTCAAGCTCACTGCTATCAAAGCCCAAACCACGGAGTCGCTTGGCTGGGGAGAAGAGGATCTTGTCGCGTACTTTACCGAACAAGCCACTCGTTTCAGATTAGCCCCTGACCCAGACATTGAGATCGTCGAACCTCAAGAAACCCTTCTCACCAACCGACCACAACATTTCATCAAGCGTCGTAGAATGGTGCCGATTGAACACAAGGTGAAGGAGTATCTAACTGCACCTCAAGAAGATGAGATTTGCAAACCTCTCATTTACTGGGAAACCGCAGGACGACACTGGCCAAACTTGGCATGCATGGCGAAGGCGATGCTTGCTGTTCCTGCCACAAGTGCCCCTACTGAGTCCTTGTTTTCTAATGCCCTCCGAGTTATGAGTGATCACCCAGTGTCTTTTACCCCCTCCAACCTTGAAGCTCAGGTTTGTCTCAAGAGCTGGAACAAGGTGTTACCACAGTATACTTGTTAGATTGTTTTTCGAGTTTGTTTTCATTTCTAAGTCGGCTCTTAGATTATATAACATCTTGTATACACAACTGTTAAGATTGTTTTTCAAGATTTATTTCTTGTTTCTATGTCGGTCATCCTCATTTCTCTTCAAGCTTTTACAAAAACATTTACATGCTTTTGAAATACAACTACATCCCCTTTCCGAGCGTTTGTTGCTCATACATCTGACTCCTGAGCCTTTCCGACCATTTTGTTGGTCTTTACTCGTGAATCTTTGAGTAATTAAATGAATTTGAATTACTCAAATCCCTTTCCGAGTGACTTTTCCTCCTACATCGAGCTTTTCACATGATTTTCACCCTACATTGGCGCCTTTCCAAGGTTTTTTTTGCCCTACATTTGAGCCTGGCCACGTCTAGCCTCGAGACCGAAAATCCGGGGCCTGCCCTGCTCGGCCTTGCCCTTTTTTGAAAGGTGCACGGGTCTCCCCAAGGCCGGGTTAGGCCCCGGGGCGGCCCGTCACACGCAGGGTCGGGTCACAGCCCTAAGTTACGGTACTCAAAACGACTAGGTCCGTGCTACCTTTCTTGAAAACCTGCTTTCAAAATGTTGTTTTTGCGGAGAAAATGAACCGTACAGAACTCCAAAAAAAAGTTCCAGAGAATTCCCAGGAATTCACCTGCAAAAAGATCAACTTTGAATCTACAGCCATTCCAATATTGCTTGTTGCAACCCTGGGCCAGCAACGCAACACGTCGCAGCCCGCCTTTTTTTTGTTGCGTTGCTCCGCAACACGCAGCCAAAGACCGCGACTTTTACTGCGTTGCGTGGAATACCACAACATAAAATATACCCAAGGTGTCGCGCCGCGTCACTAGCCGCGACGCAGCGCAACGCAGCAGGCGAAACAGGACCGCGACGCCGCACAACGCGTCAGGAGCAACACGGCCAAAAAAAACAAGAAAAAGACAAATTTGTATATATATTTCACGTTGACAATCAAGATAACATTTGACATTGTAATAATCATTTTGCAAGGACCTTGTAATCCAATCAAATAAATGAAAGTTGACTACCACCCCAAACGCCTTGAAGATAGCGGTGAGATTGTTGAAGTCGGAACCCAGCATTACACCTTCTCTTAACCATAAACGACTTGACACCAGGGCCTCGATGGTGCGTGCAAGCAGGCTTCCACGTTCGCTGGCACAAACGTCAGCAGCGCACGAAAAGATTCTTTTGGCGGCGCATGAGGAACCGGTTGTGGCCAAGTAATCTCGTGCCATGATGGATAGAACTTGATAAACTCTTTCATGTTTCTAAAATAAAAGAAATCAGCTTTCATGATGAATAATGAAGGCAAAGAAAAAAAGACGTACAGACCACCACTCAAGAGCTGCCTTCGGATCAGCTAAATTGTAATCTCTTTGACGCATCTTGTCCGACATGAGTAAATAGTTTTCCATAGAGTTGTCAACTGAATCGGATGGGTCTTCTTCTTCTGAAGAGTCATTGTGAAACATTCTAGCAGGCTTTTGGGATGGATTAGAACTGGAGGAGGCAGGGTTCCCATTGGTTTCTTTGTTGGAACTTGAAGGTTGAGGGAAAGCCAGATCATATTTGGAATATAAGCGTTGTAGAGTTGCTTCTGCCTTCATGGGAATAGCGCCAGTCTTTCCATCAAACCATTTATGGAAAAACTTGAGACAGAACAGCGGGTGAAGTACAGTCGCCATTACTAGAGTTTCGCAGCCAAGAGCTTCATTGAGATACTCTTGAGTTTTCTGGAGCATCTTGGCTAGCATGGGATAGACGGCATCAGAATTAGGCAACTTATCAATCTTCCCTTGTAAATGATGTCGAAGTTCGACGTATTCCGGAATGACCATACACCCGGTAGGTCCATCACCTTCCATCCTCTTGGTGGTTGAAAGGAATATCTGGTGGCCATATTTGTCAGTGAAATACATAATCGAAAAATGTAAAAGATATATTCTAAGATAGATTCTTACCTCGAGTTCGATATTGATACGTCGCACCTGATCCCACTCAGCCGCCGTGACTTTGAGTTGATGGAAGTAGCCGTATGGTTTGCCGTTCTTTCAAGGTTGTCGGCCAACAGCAAGAACCCGGTCTATGTCCTCTTTGCAAATTTGATCAATTACCTGGGTAAACGAAGGTTTAATAACGTGTGTTAGTTTCGGTACTATGAATGAGGAAACATGTTATCTTACAGATCTTGCCAACCAAGCTTTGTGTCGGCTCTCGTACTTAATATTCCACCGAATCCCGTATCCAGCAATGAGTGAGCCAGTGAATTGCTTTTTCTCACTTACTCACTCAAACTCCTTACGCCAAGCAGATGACCGAGTAATACGTTGTACAATAAAGTCAGCCTGAATGTAGGTAGAAGAGAAACCAGTCGAGTTCAGTGAAAACATCATATACCTATAGATAAGTGTTGTAATATACCATACCTTGCGCAATACAAAGTCCACATGGTTTGCTTCTCGGCGATGAGTGGGTGCAATTTCGTCTTCCAAATCAACACCGGGGGTGACTTCATCTTCGGCGTCAGCAGCGTCCCACTCGTTCTTGTCATTGAGTTCTGGAGGAACCTCGCCAGTTAAAGTTGCGCTGGGTGGTATGGTGTCCTCAAGATCGTCAACATCATGTGCAGGTTGTAACTCGTCAGTGGTGTCTTCATCTTCTTCCTCGATGGTGCCTATATTGCTTGGAAACCGTCCTCTGGCTGCTGATTTGACTTTGGCCGGAGGTGGAGCCTTGATCCCGAGTTCGGCTAGACCGGCGTTCACGATCAAAGCGAGCTTATGACAGAAACAAAAAATATGCATGGAACTTGGGTCCCACGCACATTTTATACCTTCTTTAACTGGCTTCAATGAAAACTGACGATGCATTTCAGATGCCATCGTCTTGTTGTTTGATCCCGAATCTGTGGTTTGGCAGAGAATGTGAGACATATTAAAAGCATACTCAGTGTCAGTATAATTTGTCAGATAGATTGAAAATGAAAACAATTTATCTATAACTTATCTTTTGGAAGATATCATGCTTTACCAATAAGTTAACAATTGGTTCCGCTAGCCAAGGCCCATGATGGTGCCAAGCTACAACCTTGAGTGTCAAGTGCCGGACGTGATAGGTCCACTTCGAATCCACATACGTTACCGAAGCTCCAATGAAACCATGCCGGTTTCCCTTACTAGTCCAGCCATCGTGGACTAAGTTAAAACGTGAGGTCAGTTGCTGGAAGGAAGATGAAGATCAGTTTCGATTGTCTAAATAGATAACACAATGAATCCATAGAAAAAGACTCTTACCTTGAGTTCTTTGTAGACGTTAGTTTTCAAAGATGAATTGATATTCTTCGCTTCCGTGGCCACCCATTTACGGCCATACAGCTTGGCCTCACGGCGAAGGTAGCCAACCATGGCACGGAGGATTGGATCCTTGACTCGAGTCCAAGGGAGCGCTTGCCTGATAATCCAGGTACAAGCCATCTGGTTAAAAGTGAGGTTGTTGAACTTGTGCCCGGGGGTAGTGACAACAAACCCATTGAGGGTTGCATTGCCCTTGTTGATCTTGGCCGCGCGTCGTTCCGCAATCGAAGGAGGCACACCCAATGATGGATCCTTTTGAGCTTCGACTCGGCCAGGGCAGCCCTTATCGTTTTGACCGATTTGAGTAGATCCGTCACGATGAACCCGTAGTGCGTCAGTCATATTGCTATAGCTGACGCGCACTGGGTCCTTTTCGTCTTTAGAGCAGAACCGGCACGCGTAAGACAAGGGAGGCTCTGATTGGTCCTATGGCGCAAATGCGAAAAGGAAAGGAGTGAGACAGGAAGATAAGAAAGAGAGCAATCAAAATTGAAGGGGAGGGATGAATCAAATTGAACATATTATTACTCACATCGTCTGGTTCGTGCTTTGGAGGTTTAAAGTATGCCCGCAATTTCGTTAGATCACCGTTGTCTACCTTGCACTTGCGTGGTGGTCGCTTGATTACCGCAGTTATCTCGACGTCAGAATCGTCCTTTAGCATCTCCTTGGTGACGTTTGAGGAGATATTCTACAAGATTAAATAGTCAGCAATCAAATTACTAACTGGGAGAAAGAGAGAACTTACATCAGCTGGTACGGACACCTGGTCTACTTTTTTTTTCTTGCGAGGTTGCTGAGACTGGGAAGATGATTTCTTCTTCTTTCTGGTGGGCTGAACGCTGGAATTTAGGGTATCGTCTGAGTCAGACATCGACTGATGCTTCTTTCTGGCGGGCTGAAATACAACTGAGTTATCCGATTTGGCCTCGGTATCGTTGGGGTCTCTGCGCTTTCTTTTTGATATCGCTGGTTGTTCGAGGTCATTGCTCATACGTCGGCGGGAATCAGGTGTTGATCTAATCATTCCTGAGTGGTTAACCTGCTTTCTGGAGCGGACCAAGCGAGGGGTCTCTGATCCGATGGAAGACATGGTATGTTTGTGTAAAGGTAGTAAGATAGATGGGTATGGGATACGAGGAAAGCGTGATAAGAAGATGCGGATAGTATGTAACTAGGAAATGAAGAAGGAATATGATCAGAAGAACGATTCGATTGATTGGATTCAAAGGGTGAAGAAGAGAATCGGAAGGGCAGAAAGGAAAACTCACCCTATCCTTATATATCTCCTTCAAGTTCCACTCGTTCCCAGCGTGGGTCCTGTCTCGTTCAAACCCCTGCATCACGACTTGCTAGGTCGGATTAGTCAATGGTTGGTCCAAGTGTGGCTCGCAGCGCTACCCAGCGCTACTAAGTGTTTTTTGAGCAGCGTAGCTCAAGTCGCACTCGGCCAAACCCAGAGGCGATAAGGGAGGCGCAATTTTTTTTTTGGGACAAATGAGCGGCGGGAAGCGCAGCTCTTTGGCGCAGCGCTTCCCAGCGCTGCAGGCTAAAAAGTGACACAAAAAAATTCTTCACAAAGTAATAAAGAAAAAATGTGATAAAGGCATTGCGATTGTAAATATAATCAATAAGCTGGTAAACGAATTCATTTTTTTATCAAATCCATCTCATCATCATCATCTTTCATCCAACCAATTCATTGAACTCATCTTCACAAAAATGACTCATGGAGATATTATGGCAAACAGTTTCATATTCTGTGCCGAACACGGTCAAGAGGTCTGCCATCGTTGTTGTGTCGATCACAGATTATGTGATACCGTCTCGATCGAGAAAGAACTAGCGGCGCTTTTGGAAGCTACGGGTGATGAACCAGATATTGATGCAGATGTAAGCTAAAAACAGCTAGAAATCCATCAAATTGAAGATCAAATCGAGAAAAAAATTGACTAATATGATTATATTCGATTTCTTATAGGATAGACCATCGTTTAATCTTTTCGCATACACTCTTTTTCCTTTGGGTGACCCTTGGGATCCAGATGATGATATTCCTTGTTGTGAACATACTGAAGCTGATTGTAAGATCTGCTTCGACTGGGTCAAGATTGTGGGAAATGACATTTAGAACCTGTAAGTGTTCATAGAAACATGATTGTGTTAGATCTTAAATATTAACATATTTTACTCTTCAAATCTTAGACACCTCAATTTCTGGGAGCGTAACCGTATCAGTCTTTTTCTGAGACTAACTCGCTCTGAGACTATCCTGAGACAAACAAAAAAGTAAACCGGATGGTGGCTTTTTGTACACTGTCTGTACAGGCTGGTGGCAACTGGTACATATGTATGAAGACTTGAACAAATTCATCATTAAGACTTCAAAGAAGCTGTTAACACTTCGATAACCTCATCAAGAATCAAGAACCTTTGTCGAGTCATCCATGTGCACCTTATATCTATACCTTCAGACTCACTCCAATCCCCCTGAAACATTGTCAAGGGGGTTCTATCGCTACAACCACTTACATATCAAAGTATTGATAATGAAGCAACTTACAAAACAACAAAATGTTATTGGAACAAGCTACTTTGAATGAAAGTAGCAAGCAAAACCGATACAAGAAAAACAATGCATTGTCATCGGAGCGAGATACTTTGATGTAAGAGGTTTCTATCTGTTGCGTTGTCTTGATTTCTTCAAAAACGACTCAGTCGCCATCTTTTCAAACTGTCTCTTTGTATGTATAATCTTCACGAAAAGGACTCGATATCACTTCTTTTCAACCAACCTAAAATGCTTCCAACTTCTGCTTTTCAAGACATCTCATTTTGCATTTTATCAACTCGATTGTCTTTTGTATGTATTATTTTTGACCAATGAAATTGACCAATGGATGTCTAGATGTTCTGTAGTTGGTGGAAGGCTTATAAAGAGAAGGAAGCGCCATGCGAAAAAAAACGCGCCACACAGACCGGGATTGAACTATACCTGTATGTCTCACTGCTTCTCTCAGGTAGTCTCAGAGAAAGACTGATACCGCATCTCTCCCCAATTTCTGATCGGGATTCCAGAAACGTATTGATGGACCCTGATTGCTCTCTGTGATACGATTACGCGTTTAGATTCCAGTTTTCAAAAGATTGATGGTTGATAATAAACTTACAATGTGAATATGAATTCTTCTTTCTCACACAAATTGGTCTAAATCTTGAAGTGATATCATGTACCAGTCAATTCACGAGGAATGATACAAGACTTTATGTAAACATAAGAGATTAATGTTCATCATGATCAATACTGAGGGCATAGCTTCTTGGTCATAAATTTTCAAGAACCTCTTGATTACCACATCTTTCTATCTTGAATCAATTCATTCAGAGTGATCTTGAAGTCGTGTGTGACTGATTCCTCGCACATCCGAGCCCAATCAATGTCACACCGATCTGAAACAACAAAGCAGTAAGCGGAGAGGTCGGTGGTGGGTGTAAAACGAGATCTTTTGGAAAACCGGCATCAAAGTTAAAGGGTCATGAAGAATCATGGTGAATAGAAAACGAGGACGAATCACTCAGATTTGAGTTTCCAACAATTCTCTTCTACCAAAAATCTCATGTCCGATATCACAGCAGATTTCTCGAATTCATCACTAAGCACTTATATATTTGAGCTCAATTGATCATTGCATGGGCCATGAAGGCTTTGATCAGTAGATTAGAAATTAGATTCTTACATCTCAAATGAATTTCTTAGCTGAAAAAACAAGATTTTTTAGTTAGAGTTTCATACCAGAGTGGAATTGATTGACCAAGTTCACCTCCACTTTTAAGAAGTGTATTGTTTTGAATGTAGGTTCATGCTTTAAAAAATATCATTTTTCCGTCATATTCTTTGATGATTTGACTTACATATCATGACTGTACCCCAAGGTCTTGAATCTGTGAATCTGATTGTATAAAGTGAATTACAATGATGGCTTGAGGTAATATTGGACTTGAGGCTGATTGCTGCTGATTGAATCCGAAAGGTGCCATTGGAATCGTGGCTGAGATTTGTACCTTTGATCAAAGATCAAAAGTAGCGTGACCCATATGGTGGCTGATTTAGTGGCGGAAAGCGTGGCGGTAAAAATCCAGGGGCCAAAATGGCAGCGCACAGCGTAGCTACCCGGAGCCTGCGGGTCCCGAGTATGGAGGCGATAGCGCTGGGCGCAGCGCCTCGCAGCGCTCCGCGCTGCTGTCTGCGCTGCGAGCCAGACTTGGTTGGTCCTTGGATTGGTGGGTATAGCATGAAACGAGGTGAAGTATTTGCCTCTTTGGGCGAATGGCCTACAGAGTAAAAACCGACCCGCAACACCCGCAGCCTGCGGGCCGAGAGCGCAACGCAGCCGCAATTGTTGCGGTCAGAAAAAAATATAAAAATCCAGGGACCTGTCGCGCCGCGGCGGCGGCCGCAACAACAGGGCGCAAGCTGCGGTGCGGTGCTTGGCGTAAAAACCGCAACGCGCCAGCAGCGCAGCACGCAACATGTGCGCTGCTGGCCCAGGGTTGCTTGTTGCTCCGTTTTGAAAAAGAAAAAGTTGAAACCTAAGTTTTTACTCGATAAAACTTCAAACTCAGCTGTAATTCAAGGCAATACAGCCAAACTTCAGGTTTTAACCAGTTAAAACTTAGGTTTCGAGCTCACAAACTTTTTCTTTTCAAAAGGGTGCGACAAGCAATATCGGAATGGCTGTATGTTTTTCACATTTTTTGAAAAAGGTGGCTTGAACCTAGTGGTTTTGAGTACCATAAGTGAACAAGACAAGATTCGAACAAACTTAACTAAGTCCCGGTCTGGACCTAACCACCAACTCCAGAGAGGGACTTACACCTAAAGTCGAAAAGTTGGCTTGGAATCGGACGGGGCATTTCAAGAATTTCTAAGATCTCCCTTCCTTGATTATCCCACTAATCAAGTGTCTTTGGTATTATAACAAAAGTCAAACGCACTGTCCTCACAAGGATTTTGCCGCTCTCGGCCTCTCAATATCTCAATTTTTTGGAAACTTATCCACAAAAAGGTGTTTGGGGCCAAACACAGGGCCAAACACGACTGCGGCGACCAAAATCTACAATTTGTAGACAAAACCCAGAACTTGAGTACTAAACCACCAATTAGTTTTAGACAAACAGCTGTTTCGTGTTCCCTTGTAGATATCAAACTTAGCAAAATCCAATCCCAAGTTTCATCCTTGTGGTGCCACCAACCTTCATCGTGCCGATCATTCTCGAATCATGCTTACTTCGAGTAAGTCCTCAGCCAGCAACGTATTATCTCAGCAAGATCCACCATCCACCCCGAAAAAAGGCTCAGCCCGGGGAAAGCTGCTACCACAGTTTGTTGACACTACCGAAGAAAAACAAAATGACGCCGCTGGTGAAGTATTTCAAAATAAATTCGGATACGATGCTCGCACCGAGCAGCGCCAGGCTACGGTGGACCTTCTTAACGGACGCACAGTCTTTTTACTAGCCGGAACTGGTTTTGGGAAAAGCCGAGTACCTGAGCTGTTTTACAAAGCCCACGATATAAGCTTTTCACCACTTGTACTGTGTATCAATCCCTTGGACGCGCTTGGGGACGATCAGGCAAGTGTCCTTTTGAGGTGCACAATTTTAGGTGGTTTAAATTTAGTGGCTGGAGCTTGATCAACTTGGCCCGCACAGGTCAGCAAAAAAGAGATGGTTGAGCTGAACACCGTGAATCTAACGGGCCCCAATTGCACGCAAGAAACCTGTGATTCAATACTGGCGGGGAAATATGTATTTGTTTATGTGGTACGCATCTCCTTGGGTCACCATTGTCACAGACATGTGTAATATCCAAATAACTGAGACTGATGTCAAATTTATCTTACTGGTTGGATACTGCACAGAGTCCAGAGGTCGCCTTGACTAGCGAGGCCTTTGACCGAATGTGGCGCGATTGTGGTATTCAGAATCGGTTAATCCTGAACGTGGTGGACAATGCACATATGGTATACACATGGGGACTTGTCGCGAGTGGTCATGCAAAACATCTAGCCAGCCATACTCGTGTCCAGGATGCAGGCGTCTCCCGGCCTTCTTATGGCGATCTCGCCCGTCGGTTTTTGTCATCAACCAAGGTTCCACTGCTTTTGATGTCGGCTACATGCACACCGCAGGCAATCCAAGCCATCGTTGCCAATCTCAAACTAGACTCCCGTGACGTTTGATTCCACCGTGCCGAGCTTGTTCAACCTGAACTTCGGCTACTTAGAAGGGATTTCAAACGTCCGCTCAAAGCCTCTTTGCGCAGTTTATTTGCACATCACTCTTGAATCCCAACAAAGTCAATTCCACCAACCCTTTTGTATTCCGGGACTCAAAACGCAACATTTGATTACTTGCAAACTATCAATGCCTCACGCGGAACTCCTAAAGAAGCTGGGAATGGTCGATCTGATTTTGCACGCCGGTACCACGCCACCACCGGCCCCAAGGCTAAACTCGATGCGGTTGCAGCTTACGTCGCAGGCATTCTAGCAGTGATATGCTGCACTTTAGCACTTGGCTTGGGGCAGAACTGGAAGCGTGTCCGGAGGGTTGTAATTGTGGGACAACAGGATCCTTGTAATGTCATCCAAATGTCCGGCAGATTGTGGACGGGATGGGCGTCGAGGTCTAGGAATACTTTTGGTTGAACATAAGCAAACCAATGGGAAAAATCTTATTGGCGACTTTCTCACACCCACCATCCAGACTGATGATGACCGCATGGATGCACTGGCTATTACCCCCGTGTGCCTGCGAGTTTCCCTGGCTGTTGATCTCAAGTGAGTGTTTATTTCGCTATCACATGGTTATCTAATTAAACTGACGTGTGTTGTTAGTAATGGCTATATTCCCCTGGATGCGAAAGACGCGAATGTCATTGCAGAGGTTCATCGACAGAGCAAACAAAACATGTCAGCCTGTGATTGCTCAAACTGCCAACCAGAAGAAGCCAAAGCACTTTGGAAGGCTCAGTGTGCACTCACCAGTGACAACATTGACACGGCTCTTGCAATGAGCGCGGCCGAACTCAACCAACTCTTCAACTCGCTTCCCAATCCCCCTCCTCCTCCTGCGGTCGAACAAAGACCATTTGCATTTGCGTGTGGAAAAGACGACACTATCTTTCAGGTTCCGTTGCTGAAAACACTAGTGCAGCGTTTGGAAGAAGGTTTCAAAGAGTGCTTCCTCTCCGTTTTCACTGAGTGTTCAGACCTCGGGCCGCCAGATTATTTTGGAAACGATTTAGCGTGGGACGTGGCAAAGAATATAGATGTAATCACTAAACCTAGCGATTTGGCCATAGTTTTGGTTAGTGAGACCATTCCCGGCCAATTTGAAAGCATATTCAAAGCTTTATGCCAGTGGAAAGAAGAATTTCAACCGGATGAACTTATGGCTAAAGCTGTTGCTTGCCGTAAAAAGGCGTGCATATCTCAAGGACGACTGAAGATACCACAATCGGTGGAGGCTCAAGCTTTAGCCGCTGCACAACGGCAGCAAGCAAAAGATGCCCAAGACAAAAAGAAAGAGCTTGCTGAAATGTTAAAGGCCGATCAGTGTCCAGCTATTCCAAAGAGGAATGATAAGCGTGCGGCAGATGATACACTGCAGACGGATCATGCAAAGACTAGGGTCACAAATCAGGTATTGCCATTTCATTCGTTTTAATCCTTCCTGGGTCGCGGGACTTGTTTAATGATGCTGATAGCCATAATATGTCTATTATGTTAGGGTGTCATTCATTAAGAATGTCTTGGAATCACTAGTACAAATGATCTGAAAGCGTGCGCTTCAGCACTTAGATCACAACCACCGACAAAACTTATAAAGGATAACTCTGACCTGAAAGCGTGCGCTTCAGCACTTAGATCACAACCACCGACAAAACTTATAAAGGATGACTCTGACCTATAACACCAACAACAAAGATTAGAAACGTAGAGGTAAGATTGAAAGAGATGAAAAGAACAATTTTTGTACCTATACAAAGGTTCAGATAGATTAGTTAAGCTATCACTATTTGATAGCTGATCTCTGGAGAAAACTAAGAGATAAAGATCTATATGAGAAAAATAGAAATTGAAATTAAGACAACAGTTAACTCGATTGAAGATTTATTGAAAAGTGAAATGTTACTTACTTCTCTTCCCAAAGATGGGGAAAAGAGAAGTAAGATGAATTAATCAATGGAAGTTATAAGTACTTGTTGATTTGATTACATTGGGGTGATTAAATGATGTCATTCTTCAATTTCACGTATGATGTCATTTCTAATGTGTCTTATAACATTACACTTGTATTTACTCTTCTGTTCATTATAATGCACTTGTTCAAGTCGATTGAACACTTCAACACAACCGGGGTCTTGTCATTCACCCACGACAACAACACATCCTTCGCACCCCAACGAAATCTTGATGATCGACCCGCGTCTTTGTCAACCCGAATGGATTTAACCATGTTATACAAGCCTTTACGCCACGCATTGGTTACCTGAGGTGAACATCGGATGGCATCGTTATTCGACAAAGATTGGTCTGCATAAGAAAGGAACAATTCCATAGATGCTGGGGTGATAGTGTTCAGATTTTTTTGGAAAACAATCTTGTGTCCAGCTTTGGATTTTATTAGCTGCATCAGCTTTTTCAACTTCAAACATGACAGTAAGATAAAACCAATTTGTAACTTGAATTAGTATGCTTGACACTTTACGCAATGAAACTCTAGATTATCTCACCAAAGCAATATTATTTGAGAGACGCTTAGTCAAGCGATCTAGGTCCGTTCCGTGGCCCTAAAATTGGAGAGCATCGGATCTTTGGTTTTGTGAGCCAGGGTCTGAGATAGGTTTGATTGGCACATACCATGGTATTATAATGAGGCTTTAGCCAGCAGATATGAACCTCAAGGAATTCATCAAGAGTCATCCAATGATCTTTTCGCTCGTTGGATGGTAACAGGAGTGAATGTTTAATGGCATGTGCCAGTGGCTTAGGTAAGTCTTCTTCAAGTAGCATCACAATGCGTGGAATATGACGCAAATAATGCGACATCCCAGGCAGGCCTTGCGCCATGATTGCCCATCTTTTCCATATAGCCATTAGCCGACCAATATCGCCGGCGCGCGTCGAATCATGCGCCTCAACCACCGTAGCAAAGTCCCGCATGCGTAACATCAAGTTGTAATGGGCATGGTCAGTACTTGCACGGGCTGCTTCTAGAGCCAAAGAATCAAAGTACTTTGACCAAACTAGATCCAACAGCTTCTCGCAATCGGCCTTTTTGGTTAGATCGAGCGCCTCAACCGACTTGATCACTTGCCTACGTGTAGAATGCAAGTTGAGTATTTAATCTATTTCAATGAGAATATCATTTAGTAAAAACTGGACTGACCCGAGAGCAAAAACCAGGTTAGCTTTATGTACAACTAGCCGAATTGAGCGGTGGGCGCCGCACTTGTAAGAAGGGCTCATCTCAGATTGATTTGCAAAGCCTTCTGGAGGCTATGCTGGCTCAAATATTACCTAAGAAGGCAAGCTTCAAGGTTAGGGCCAATTAATTGGATGACAATTCAGCAAAATCTATATCATAATACCATGTTGATCACTGGATACAGAATGAGCAACATAGTGCTAGCCTAAGGGCACGTTTGCTTAAGCAATTTCTGGTCAGAAATCACATCAGCCTGGGCCCAGCCCAAACAACGCATGTAATGGCCTACCCGCACCCCAAACCAATACCCAATAAGCCCCCTGTGCCCAAACGCTACCCCAAACCAATCAAAACCCAGCTCTCAGAAGCCCCCCAACCCCTATCCTGAATGCCTAAAACCTGTGGGAAGCCGGGGGTCCCCACGGATACAATCACGGGTTTGAGGACTATGCCCCCCCGCCCCCAAATCCTACGGGGTCCCAAGAAGCCTGACTGAACCTGCAACCCAAGGGTTTGGGGCTTGGAACACTTGGGGCGTTGGTTCCAGGCTGAAAATCACATTCTGCAAAATTTTAAAGTGCTGGTTTGGTGGAACATGGTCAATTTTTACATTTTTAAATTTCCATAATGTGATTTCTGGACAGAAATTGCTTAAGTGAACACACCCTAAGTATATTACACACTTAAGGCTACTAAACACAAATGAAGGTGATCCTAGAGAGGGCTGTTAGATATTTGCTGCTGGCAGCAAAAAACAGGATGGAATGAGGCAGGAGGGGTATGGAGGTCATGCTGCTCAGGATTCCTCAATGTGGTGGGATCAAGGGTCAGGAGGAATGATGGTCATTGGGAACAAAATGAATGTTGCATACCCTAGGGACAGAGTGATGATATCCTTATCCTAAGCCTGACCCCTAAGCCTAATCTCCAACCACCTAATGGTTTGAATATCAGAGTACCTCAAGTAATGTTTTGTCACATGATATTCACTCTATTTTTAGATGGAATTGGTTCATAAAAAGCTGGTCCATCTAGAGTGTTTCACATTGTTACATTGGCTGATCCATAAATCAATTGATATTCACCTATGGTCTCTTGGGGGGGGTTGGGTTGAGTTACAACCACATTTTCCTTGATTTTTTTACTCTGGCTTGGTTCATTTGGTGTCAGGGTTGCACATTTGACTACTTCAGGTTTCAAAATGGATTCTGCTGCTCACAATTTGACTTTATCATCTGTTTTGTTTTGATCTTGAATTGAAAAATCATATCACTTAATTGGTAAATATATACAGGATCTAAGTACAATAAGTAAAAAAGTGAGATTTTCAAAATTTTGAGTTGGATTATAAAGAAAACATTTTTGAAAAAAAATGTTAGATCAAGACATTCTAATTAACCTCTTAATTTGTTGTTTTGCCAAGAGGTAATGATCTACATACCTTGAAGTTTTTGTGTATTTGAGGAAAATGACGAAAAATAGTTTATATTTCATTACCATTGATTTACAACAACTTATTCTTGACTTGAAGTTTTGAATGCTGAATTTGAAATAATGATATGAACAATATGAACCCAACTATGAACCCAACTAAATACATAAATGGCCTCTAAACCCAAATCCTGAACCACCCCCAAAAAAGTCCAATCAGACCAAATCTTGCACCATCTTTTCCACACCGGTGCTTTTCCAATCTAAAGCTAAATCTAATCTACTTTCAATGATTATATCAATTTCAGTTAAAAAAACCAATCCAACATTATGGTTTTGCTTTCCATATGATCCATCATTATTAGTTTCAACATTCAATTATTGTTCAAGTTTTAATTGGTATTAAAATTTCTATATTTATTAATCTTTCCCATCCCTTTCATCAATCAATCAAAAAAACAAATCAGTATCAAGATTAAAGAAAACCAGAACATGAATCAATCACTTACCTTTTCAAATGCATTGAGATCAAAGTCAAGGAAGTTCAAATCAGTCATTGGTGCAAACTCAGTTGAAAAAGAAGCAAAAGTTGCTTGAACTGAATAGCTCAAGAACTACAATTATAACACATTTAAAATTCAATCACAACATAGTAACTAAAACAGATATTTTGACAAGCTGGCACAAAAAGGAGATCACATTAGTAAAGATGAATGGCGTCAAGGAGGGCAGAAGGTAATTTAAATCAAGTCGGAATTACTCACAAACAGAAAGGGAACTGACCTAGTTTTGATAAGTGCATGGAAAAGGTTGTCCGACATCAAAATCAAAAGCTTGATGATGATGATGACTGTAGCCTGTTAAGTGAAATTAAAGCGAATAAGATGAAGATTAATTAGTTGGGATGACTAAAGCTTTTAGGAGGCTGAGATCGATTTAAATACAATCGGAATTGGACCGAGATCAAAAGAAAACTCACCTAGATGGCACAGGAGCAAGCAGTTTGAATATATGTAAGTGAAAAAGTGAATGTCCACGTAGAATTATACCTCAAGGTTTGACTGTCGATTCTGAACAGTTCAACTCGGAGTTCTGAGAGCAATAGCTCAAATTAGCCGACTGTTTAATTCAGTACTGACAAACTCTCTAATCAATTGATGATTAGTCACAAAAGCCAAAAGCCCAGGAATTTCAAAATCAACATTGAATTCAGTCGATTGTGAAAGTTTCAACTTTGACTTCAAAGAAGAGATGTCAAATAAATTGATCTAGTCGATTGATCACATTCGAGTCCCAAGTTAGGAAAGACTTGAAGCATGTAAGTCAAAGATCAATGAATCAAAAAACAAGTCTGATTAAAAAGAGGTAGATTGATCTGAGCATAAGATTGCTAATGCATTGATTGATGGAAATTTGATTGATGTAGTTGATGAAGCTACTGATAAGAGTAAATCATGAATAATTTCTTTTGTGTCTTTTGAATCAGTTGGATTGTCTTTGATAGATTTTAATCGTGAAGTTAATTGGATTCTTCAGTGATTTGATTGTTTTTCATCGTTTCAAAGTCTAAAGTTCAAAATTCTAGAAACACAATAGAGGGAATCAGTAAAACTAATTGAGAATCTTCCAAGATTTGCTATTGATTGGATTTACTTGCTTTACTTGAGAAGATTGTCCTGGAGATAAGTTTGAATGAGAAGTTGATTCCAATTTTTAGAAATTAGTGAGACCATTTGAATTACAAACCCGCTTGCTTAAGAGTAACGTCGGGTAACCGCTTGCCAGGATGCAACGACTATGTTGGGAGGGAGTTTGTGCGGTGTTATGTGAAGGTTGGCTAGCCAAAAGAACTACAGGTATTGAGGGATAAGATTGGCTGTTTTCATAACTGGGAGAGTGTACGTTCAAGCTTTTGGGAGGTTTTGTCTGAATCCCATGTTTGCCTCTAACATGGAAACATGGAATAACATGGATGAATGATGATGATAATCAAGTTGGCTTGGAGGACAGCTGGAACTGCGTTCAAAGTTTGTTGGAATTGAGGAATAATCGGGGTTTCCGCTGATAAAATGATAAATTAAAAGAACTTACATATCAATTGGATCCACAATGGTAGATGAGTAATTTGGACATTGCAACAGTAGTGAGCAATAGAGTACGATGTAGGGAGCAATTAGTGTGATATGACGGAGTGGTAATGGAGTAATTTGGAAGGGAAACCTCGGGTGGAAGGGTCAGGGAATGATAGAACGTACGATTGAAGCAAATCTGGAGTGTGAAGCCCAGCAAGTGTGACGTAGAAGGAGAAAGCGTGATAGCACTAAGAGTTAAGCGAGGTGAGAATATGATAATCTGTGGCAATCGTTCATTTGACACTCAGAACAGACTTTGTGAATAAGGATACCTGGCAAATAAATTATACACGGAAGGAGGGATCAAGGAACTTGTCAGCCATGAGGAGCATTTAGGTAATACTCCCATTGGCAGTCATAAAGATCATCCAAGATTACTAGGGGATAACAAAGATGTTATATGTAATATTTTAATAGTTATATGAAGTAGATAATATTACATATGCATTAGCTTGAAAGAACTCGTGATGACATACTCAACCTTCAGAAGACCCTGATCTCAACAAAGGATAGATATTTCCTTGAGCCTAGTTACATTCCAAGAATGTAACTAAGAGATCAGAAACAAGTAACATTGCATTGGTTACAACAGACCCTGAAACACGCATGAAAAACCCTTATGTGTTATATCACAAAGAGACCTGCATAATGATATATAAGCAGTAGTTTTCCGCATC